GTGTGTGTGTGTGTCTCACACGTATTCATAAACACATACATACATGCAATGTGGCTGCATACACGCGTACTCATGAGTATGGCTGCGATGTCCTTGTAGAGGAATCGGCGAGAACTGCTTCCTGCTGCAAGGCCTTGGTCGACCCCCGAGGCGGCCGCCGTCGGGCGTCGAGGGGCGGTTGCCGACGCCGAGTCCGAGGGCCTGACAGGGTTAAACGTGGGTACGCCGAGGCTGTGACGCCGAAGGGAAGGCAGGGTGTGCGCAGCCTTGTGCCCACAATACTTTTTTTTTCTTTTTTTTTGTGTGTATAGGGAAGAGTTTCCTCGAGATTTTTTTCTTTTTTTTTCTTCTTTCTTATCAGATGCCCTGCTGCTGCGTCGCCGGCGAGCCCCACGGCAGCCTAGGGCAGAGCGTCGTAGTCGCAATGTCCTCTCTTATATATCTCGATGTCTTACCGACGACCGCGCACTCTCATTCACAGGGATGTCGCCTCTAATTTCGTTATTCTTCACATTGCATCGTCTTTAAATCACTCATTCAGACGGATCCACAACATCCCTCCTCAGCTCCCTCCCTTGCGCTGGTCATCCTCGGGGCCGCAAGGGGAGGTGGTCCTCACGAGAGTACTTTCCGTTCCGTCTCGCGCAATGCGTGTCATCTGGAGAATTACCACGTCAGCCGATACCGGGGGACGGCGGTGATTGACAGACGGGTGAAGGGAGGTTTTTTGTTCTATTTTTGAGCGGGAACAGCCACGGGGCAAGAGGGGGCCTTGGCGGCGCGGGGAGCGGTGGCGCTCCGCGCGGGGCGAGAAGGGCCGAGTAGCACCGGGGCGCGCGAGCGTAAATATATAATATTATATATATATATATATATATATATATATATATATTATATATATATATATATTATACATACATACATACATACACACATACATATACATATATATGTTTATGTATATATATATATTATTATATATATATGTATATATATATATTTATATATATGTATATATATATATATAAGACGTTCGTAAATTATATATATATATATATATATATACATTTTATTATACATATATGTTACATATATAATGTTATATATTATTACATATTATTTATACATATATGTTTACATATATATGTATATATATACATATTTATTTATACATATATGTTTACATATATATATATATATATATATATATATATTATATATATATATATTATAATATATATATATGTATATATATTTAAAGATAATACATATAGATACATAATACATATATACATACATACACACACTTACACACACCATACATACACACACACACACATTACACACACACTTACACACACACTTACACACACACTTACACACACACACACACACACACACACACACACACACACACACACACACACACACACACACACACACACATATATATATATATTTATATATTTTATATATTTTATATGTATATATATATTATTATATATTATATATATTATTTATATATATATATATATATTTATATATATATATATCACATTTATATTCATACCATATAGAGAGGGAGGGGAGAGAGAGAAATGTGGTGATAGGTAAAAGATTGATGAATATAGATATCGGTTTTGCAGATTTTGAAAACTAAAGTAAAAATGGTAATGTACATATACTCCATCATACATTGCTATGTTATAAATACACATATACATAACACGCATTTACATGTATGCGTTTGTGTTTGCGCGCGCGTATACACTTACACATACGCAGTGAGTCGAGCAAAAAAGATAGGTTTTCAGGGTCGGAGTTGGTGGAGTAGCGGTGTCGACAGAAGGGTCGGCCATGGACAGAAAATTAGTGCTCAGGCTCGGTAAAAGGGGAGGAAGGGGAGGAGAGAGGAGGAGGAGGAGGAGGAGGAGGAGGAGGAGGAGGAGGAGGAGGAGGAGGAGAGGAGGAGGAGGAGGAGGAGGAGGAGGAGGGAGGAGGGGGGGGAAGGGGAGGGAGGAAGGGGAGGGGAGGGAGGCCGAGAGAGGAGGCTGGCGGTGGAGGAATCCCTGTATGAGCTGTCCTGTGCCCGAAATGAATGGCTCTAGCGAAGACTCCTGCCAATCTTACTATTTTTATACATTGGTTTTGCACTTCTGGCTCAGCACTGCACTTCCATGACCTTCAGTAACCTTGGGGGAGAGGACTCAATGAGACAGGCAGCCTCTTCTTTACCTCGATTTTCGTCGCGGTCTCACTGTTCCGGAGAAATGTCGCCTAATTAACTGGGAGCCTCAGGGGATCTTGCTTCTAATCGGGTGCCACATTCTTGGGAAACCAGATGGAAATATATTCACATAATTCTGGATTTGCTTTAATGCCTCTCTTCCATCGTGGTCCCCCCCCCCCCACCACCCACCACTCTTCGAGGTATATGTGAAGATCGTAAATGACTTTATAGTTGTTTGTTACGAGTATCGGGTCTGTGCCGGCGCCCGTTCGGGATCTGGTACTGTAACGTTACGAAATGCCCGGGAATTCTGATTTTTTGAGAAGGAATGCTTGTTGAAACTGGCGTCAACCCCAGATACCAGAATTCTCGATAATTATAACTTCTTGGATGAACCGACACCACGGTTTGCAATACGCTCGTTGCTAACTACAGCCAAGCGTACGCCCACCATTACTCCTGTTATGAATAATAAGTGGGCGTAGTGCGGCGACAAAATAAAAAAAAGCGAGAGAAAACGAGCGGCGGCGGCGGCGCGGGAGCACTTTGCCGGAACCGCGTCCTATTTTGCCACGGCGTTTGACGATGCTGCCATTGCCACGGCGTTGACGAAGCTGCCATTATTGTCTATCTTGTGGCCGTCCAGGGTCTTACCGCCCTGCAACAGGAAGCAGATACAAACAAGATTATTTACGGTTCCAACAACCTACACAGCAAAACAAACTGGCTCAAGCCACACGACAGCACAATTTGTGGCCGCTAATTCGATAATGCTGTTTAGGCATTTTATATCTCGTTAGATCTTATCTTTTGTTTGCGTTTCCTGCGGGGACTTAGCTTCTGATTATAACTGACGTTTTCGATGTTTTGTGCGTAAGCCTGTGTTCAATGTCGACGAATTTATTTTCTTCTTTTTCCTTTGCGCAGAAACTATATATTGCTAAATCAAGCACTGCTCGCACCCTGAAAGAGCCAGACTTAAATTGCAGTTTGTCTATTCTGTTTATGCTTTTCCCTTGGTTTATTGCATTTTCCCTTCCCACACCTGTTTTATCTCCGTCTCCCGCTCACGGCTGTTTTGTTTCACAGGTGGCATCCGAAGACCGCAAATTCCTATATTGCAACTCCATTTCTCTTTTTGCCCAGCTTTTATTTGCTTCTCGTGTACACTGCACACACGCACAGGTCTAATGGGTGTTTTTATTTAGACTCGACCTTTGTTTAAGCGTTTTTTATAAGTGGATAGGAAAAATGTCCAAGCTTCATCGATTATCGTAAAATTTAATCGATATTCAAATTTAGCGGTGACTCACTTTTTTAAGCCTCGAATAACATTTAATTTCTGCAAGTTCATGTTCGCTTTTCCTCCGCATTAGATATCTTATAAACTTAATCACCCCCCCCCCTGTACACCAAGTCTCTCATATTGATTACTGACTTATTTCAAGTTTAAATTTAACTTTATGAAATCAACTGCTGATGTATTTTTATTCAATATTATCTAAGCAATCCCGTTTCCATCAATCAGCTTTCTCAATCATACTTTTACGTGCTAATAAGATGTAAATGGGTTTAGTTACTAATTCCTCTAGCTAATATATACTAATATAGCTACTAATAAAGGGAATGTGAGTGAGCGCCTGGGAGGATCCTTGGAATTGTTGAGCTTAAATTCGTATAGCACTATTTTGCTAACGTCTTCCGGCTCTATCTTTGAGTCGGTTTCCAAGCTGATGCTGATCAAATTGGATTTCAGTTTTACATTAAAAGCGGCACGTTTTCTTGGGTATTCTGTTTTTTCGATTAGATTTGTCAGTATTTATTATCGTTATTATTAGTAATAGTATCAATATTATTGCTTTCTTCTTCTTCTTTCATTATTATTATTATCATTATCATTATTATTATTGTTATTGTCATTATTATTTTTTTATATTATTATTATTATTATTATTATTATTATTATTATTATTATTATTATTATTATTATTATTATTATTATTATTATTATTATTATCATTATCATTATTATTTCATTATTATTATCATCATTATTGTTAGTTTTGTCATTCTTCTTCTTCTTCTTCTTCTTCTTCTTATTTATTATTATTATTATTATTATTATTATTATTATTATTATTATTATTATTTTGTATCACTGCCAGCCCTGTTCATGATATATTTCAGTAACCGGTCATTATCTCATTGGTCTTACTCGAAACGTCGTTGGTTGACAATAGTGCTATCCTTACTGTTATGAATGTGTTATATTTGCCGATATGATTAGATTATTGTAATAATTGTCAGCTTTTGTCACTGGAGCTTGTGGTTAACTATTTTTGTGTCTTCACTGTTTTTAGCGGTCTCGTAGCATCCCGTAAAAAAAACAAAGGGATTCTACAATCGTCTCCCACCTGTTGAAGTCTAATATTACCCCGACTGTTCATTCAACTTTTGTCCACATATTCACCACTCTTGGCTACCGTGTAGAGACACTGTGGTATTTATAGTCAGCCCCAAAACATGCACCAGTGTTGGAGTCGGCAGATTCGCTGTAAAGTTTTGGCATTTGATACCAGGATGCTAGGGGAGGGAAGCAATTGCCCCCCAAGACTGATTGACCCCTCAAGGTCTGGCTTAACCCCCCCCCCGAAGATCACACTCCCATTTTTCCCCTAAATTACACCTTTATAGCTCTAGTCCTAGCTTATACGTGCTCGTAGAACATTAAGAAAAATCTTGGGGAGGCTCGCAGCAACCCAGAAACCGATTGCGCTCCCTTCGCTCGCCAACCATCCCCCAAGAAATCGCTAAAATGACCCCCTGTTCAATACTCTTCTGACACGTCACTTCTATAGCAAACACTGACACGCTTCTTCTTTTTATTTATTTATATACGTACTTGTGTCATTCTTGACTTTAGTGTTTTTCATTGCCGCGATGTAGAATGGTGGTAGTTTAAAGAAACTGTTTAGTTTTGCACACTTAATTATATGTCAGTTATTATTAACATAAGCTGCCTTTGATTTTTCGTGTTTTCTTTCAGTTTCTTAGCAAAAAAGCATTGAGAAACTTACTGTTACTTTTGAAAGAGGTCCTAAAGTATTTCTCTCTGCTTCAGGGTGGCAACATCGAGAAATGTTCACAGTGTACCCGCACTGTGTACGCTATGGAAAAGTTAGAAGTGGCTGGGCGTGTAATGCATAAGACGTGCTTCCGGTGCTGCAAATGTAACTCGCAACTAAGGTGAGATAAAAAACTCCTTTTTTTAAAAACTGTAGTTGCGAAGAAAAATCTGTTCTTCATTCTTCATGGTTCCATATCCAGTATGAACAAACATGCTAAATATATCTTTGGGTATTCATTAATTAGAACAAATATTTAGTGAGAAACAGGTGATGTTTAATATATATATTTTTTCCAGTGTTGGCAGATTCTCCATCGGCGGCGACGATCTGTATTGCATGACCCACTACAAGCAGGCCTTCAGGGAGAAGGGGACCTACGATGTGTTCACTCCTAACAATCCCTGCAAAGGGAAATGGGAGGCAAAAGCCCAGCAATGACGTGGAAGTGTTAATGTATAGTTGGGGACCACATTCACAGCATCCACAGGTTGAGCAATGTAATTCTTCAGACTCTGAGTGTTTATGGCGACTAAGAACATCAAATGGTGCGAGTTTTCCAGCAAATCTGAAAGCAGTATTTTAGAGAAAATGAGAGCAGAAATCGGAACTACTTTTACTTTATTTTTGTAAATGATAATGTAATATAGAAATATCTGCATCTGTAATTTCCTGAAACACAACAATCCTGTGAAAGCCTCCATTTCTGTGCCTTAGCACTTCACATGCTCCATTTTTTGTATATTTTTTCGAGAGTAATTTTTTTAATGACCTGGAAAATAGATGTTTACTGCTTTGCATGACTGACATGCAAAAGTTAGACCCTTCTACTACATGATTATGTCCTAATCCTAATGTAATAAATTTTGTGCTTTTGTAGTTTTAAATTTTGCCATGACATACAGGAAATATGATTCTTGAATTTGTACAATATATTATGTTTATGTTGAACATCACTTAGAAATATTACATTAGGACAATGACAATGATGATAAAATGATTGTCAGTTTAATGTTATGCTATGGATATCCTTTAAACTATACAATTAGACATAGTCATATTTATTTGCTTCGATTTTAATTTTAACTGATTTGTTGTAATTTTTTTTTTTTGTAAAAATACAATTTCTCCTAAGAGGAAAAGTATATAAAGTGTCTTTATGTCAAGAACACTTCATTTCATTGTCTTTAATTGAAAGAATTGTCTCATTTTAAAAGACTGATTTTATTTTTTACCTTTTGATATAATGTGGTCAGTTTGATATTCACATTCTTTGATTAATCTGGCTCTAGAAGTAACTTGGCCCAACAGTGTATGCTTTGGCCATGATCTCCATTTTCAAGATGTGTGTATAGAATATGTCATGTACACATTACAATATTCTGTCCAAAGATAGATTATGGAGCATCTTAGACCTTTGATATGGCCTTGGAATATTTTTTTTTCTCAGAAAAAGAGTGAGTTGTTTTCTGTGTGATAATAAGCTTTTTTGTGATAACCAAGATTTAATACCAATTTTGAATTCTTAACCCCATTTTGGTTTTCAAAATATTTAGTCTACTTCAATGGAATGAGTCAACAATATATGCCATATTGTTTTGTGATCAGCTTTAAGAGTGTTCTTGTAATTCTAATCTCCAATTTACCTACTAAGTAATACTTTTTGATGTTTTTGAAATAAGAATACTACTTGATATATATACACTGAATGGCCTTTTTAGGTTTCATGTATTTATAAAACTTGAATTGTAAGTACATATGTATATATTTTTTCATCAAAATTAAATGTACTTGTTCATAACACTTTCATATCACAGTACTTATTGTATGTACATGTACGTACTTCTTACTGTATAAAGAACAGGTATAGACTTTCATGATCAAAGAATATCCAATAATTTGGATATCAATTTATAATTTATATTTAAGATACAATTACATTAAAGGTATCCAAATATATATTCGTAAACCAAGAGAGGATAATGAAAATGTTGGTATTACTGTAGATCTTTTTACTTGTAGATAAAGGTGAGCCACAACTACATTTAGCCACAATTATTTATGATTATATGTATGAAAGCTATAAAATAAATACAAAAAAATTATTGCATTATCTTTATTATGTATGATTTTAGATTTTTGAGATGTTCATGTGTAGCTACACTTGAAAAAGTATAATATGAGGCAGATTATCTGCAAAGAGAGGATATAAGTGAATGGAGACAGATTCAGAATCATTACTACAGCAAAATCAGACGGTGTACCACAAGGCAATACTTTGCACCTTCTTTTTTGCCCTGATGGTGGTATAAGTACATGAAAATGAGAATATCAGCTTTCCTGATAAGGGAAATATGGCTCAGGTCTAACTTTACCAGGAGCTACTGAAGTAAAAAATACTTAAGTGCATTTAATACAAGGCTCACACTCCTATATTTCAACCACTCAGCAGTGAACAAGCTGCAAAGCACTACAATTACTAGTTCTCCAGTTACATGTCTTGTGCATTAATATGGTATTCTGGCTGTGATCTAATATTGACTGTTTAATATACAGAACAGAAAGATCAAGAAAGTAAGAGTTCCAGTGTTTTCGATAACTACTTACTGGTACAGAGTTTAGCCTAAATACCTTTGTGAGCCTTTGCATACACCAAATATTGAATTGTAACGCGTTTAGGGGAGAAAAATCCAAATTTAATCATTTACTGATTTCTATTATAGATATGTGATGGTTCTTAGGTTACCAGTCCTCAAACACTCCGCTTCATGGGGAAAGAGTAAAAAGCAATGAACCATAGAATATCCTCAATGAAGATATTAATTGGATCTTAACAAACACATATATAACATTATACATCATACCTATTTGTGTCAGCACAGTCATCTATGACATCATATGCATGGAATCAGGGTTATGGCAGTAATTAATACTATGCAAATTTGATTTTAGAATAAGACAAATGTAATAGGTGCATCATTTATATATATATATTTTTTATAATCAATCTTTCATCATTTTTGGGGAAGGGTTTCATTTCTTGTTTATCACAGCCATGTGTATACTAGCTATTATTATTATTATCATCATTATCATTATTTTATTATTTCATAACTTTACATTATGTATATAATAATAATAATAATAATAATAATAATAATAATAATAATAATAATAATATCAATATTATTTGCTTGTGTGGTAAATATTTTAAATACTATAAATGAGATATGTATAAACTAGTATTATACACTACACTGATACACAGGTAAGGCTGGCAGGATTCATAGTTTTTATCAAACTGACAACAAATTTTCGTTTTCTTACTATTGGGTCTTCCGTAGGGGTAGATTCCTAAGCTTCATTTATGCCTTAATAAAGATAAAATGCAACACTGGTAATCAATATACATTCAAAACATGAGTACTACATTTTTGTTAACTGCATGAACTCACAGCACTCTCAAAACTGGCTAGCTTCCCCTTTTCTTCCCTCTGTGCATCTTTGGAGTGACCACCAATGTATTATGAAACACGTAAAGCAGGTGAAATGAATTGGTTGCCTAAAACATTTGTCTCATTTTCTTCTGAACATTTTTGTTAAAACACTTCACATCTTTCCCAAAGCAGTCATAAAAAAATCCAACAATGAGGTGTTATTCAAATGCTGAAACTGGCACTTCATCAGCTTTCATTGATGTGGATTAAGCTGTAATCAGGCATAAGAGCATATGTCCAGCTTATAATAGTATCAAACTTCAAAAGATGTATGTAGTTCTATGAAATCAAAATTGTCAAATCTCTATTACTTTCAAACCACCTAATACCTTTTCCTATGGCACATAAAAAATAAACTGCTAAAGTTCTGAAGAAGTACAATATGTTTTTAGCAACTTAAAGGTCAGTAACATAAAAAGTATTTTATGGGAAGCATTAACAAAGTCCATTCTTATCAATTTAAAATATCAAGGAAATATATTACAGTTTATAATATTTCTGGCTATCATTCCATGGAAGTGACAAATGAAAGTCTTTTACTTCTTAAAAAGAGAATATATTGATAAAAAGATCACCATCAATCTGGCACTTCCTTTTGCCACTAATATATGCTAACATGGGTTATATTAAGCTTCTTTTTTTGTTTCTGGTATAACAGTGTTTTATTCCATTGGTGCTTACTTCCCTGTGCATAACACGAGAAATTTGCTATAATATCTATTATCATTCAACTATGAAATTTCCTTTATCAGACTTACTAAAACAGAAGTGGTAATCAGAAAAAGGAACAAGAAATATCCTCAGACAGTTTTGTTCTGGACTGAATATCATTTTTACCATATTCCAAATTAAATGTTATTCTAAATAAAGGGGGAAAAATGAAGAGAGAAATAAACTGAACTGGCTCGAACTGTACCACGAAGTGAAGAGGAGTCATGGTTCTCTCCTTTAATCTTTTGAAGTTTCTCCCTTTCACTAGAATTGGGACATCACATGAGAAATGGTGCAGCTATATGCACTAAGCCAAAGATTTTTACTCTTATCTACATATCTACAATCTATACTAAAATTGATATAAATTATGAATAATATTTTCAAACAATCATTTGTCTATGGAGAAATGTTAAACAGTAACATGTAAATGCTTTCTTACAGTTATATTCAATTATTGAATCTCTATAACTAAAACAGAGATGGTTTCTGCGACCTCAATTAACTGTTACGTAAAATAATTCACTGCATGTAAAGAGAAAATGGTAACACAAAAGCCAAAATTTATCGGACTTGTACAGTACTACATGGACAACTTCAATAGATGATACAAATGAAATGAAAACTTGTGCAGACCCCAACTATGAAGAATATTCTGTCTTATAACTTGAAAACCTTAATTTAGTTTTATAAATAAGAAATCTATTTTGGGGGCCACCATGGTACAGTAGTGGTGTTCACGGCTCGGGACCAAAAGGGTCCTGTCCATGGTCTAAGGTATGAAGGGGTATCTACTCTGTCTCTCACTGCCTAAACCAAAAGTCCGAAAGAAGACACATTGCTTGCCTTTACCAAAAAGGGGCTTACTAATACAGAGGTAAAACCAAATCATTTTAGAAACCTATTCTAGTTCATTTCCTGTGGGCATGCTTAAGTGTAATGCCTGTTACTCAACTGGAAAATGTTTTTATATCTAAAATCATAAACACAGGAGGGGGCTTTACAAAAAAAAAACGCTGAAGTTTGATTTCTTTACTAAAAACAGAACTGATGAGGTCACAGAGCCCACTTGCAATACAAATAAATACCTTCAGTTTGGTTTTTGGTTTGAATAAGTGGACAGTCAAAAATCCCTCATTAAAACAAAAACACTAAACCAAATTCAATGGTCCTCAATATTTGAATCACAAGGTAAAATAAACAAAACAATAAAATCTGCAGTAATGAAAATATCATTGATAAATCAAGCTTTCATAAAATCACAGAAATAAGAATAATTTGTGCCATCTGAGAGGAACCAAGTGCCACTGAAACTATTATTGGTAGGTCTCAGTTGGCAGAAAAGCTTACAACATTCACTGTGCTAAACCAGGGAGTCCCAAAAAATTAGAAGGCTATAAAAGAGAAGTAAAACTCCCATGAGCCTGTTGAGACACAATTCTTTGGGTCTTATAACTCTTATAAAGTGTTTTGTTGAATTTACACTATAACCTATATTTTACTGTGTTAAAGTGCTATGACTAGTCTAATTCTTATGTGGCATCGAACCATGAAGTGACCATAATGAATATAATACTTTTATCGGATATGATATGGCTACACACAAAGTGCTGAATAATCAATTTTTACAGAAAATATTGGTCAGGCTTTCTTGTTGCTGAGTGAAGGCTTTCTCCGGAAAACTTGCTGAACAAGTGCCGAGACACAACTTCAACTCAGCCCTGACACCCACAATGGTCATCGCCAGATCTACTGGTGGCACAATAGGGAGAATGTACTTCGCAGAGTACCTTGGGACTTGTGGTATGAGATTTGTTGATGGCATGCTGTTAGCTGTACCAAAATATCTTTTAGTTTAAATCCTCCAATCAGTGAATGGATGACAAATACTGGATCTGAGAAATGTGGTTAGAGAACAATATATATATATATATTTCTAAAACAAAACAGAACAGAAATTTCACAGTTCAGGTCATGTAGTCTCTACATATACAAGATTTATAAAATGACTATCATTCAAGATCTTTGTCATTATCCACCAATGATAAGAACTCAAGATATTAATGATCTCAGTCTGCCATCTTTTCACTGATGAGGTGTGAAGTCATATGGCACTTTGCCATTTGTTGATTTACAGAATATTGTATCTACAATAGTCTAAAAACGTTTTTCTATTCTTGACTCTTTGCCAATTCTTGAACTTGTTGCTTCAATTTTTCTTGTCCACTTCCCTTTGTTAGGTGTAAATACATCATATGTTCCTTTTTCTGTGAAAGCCTGTTTATAGTGTGTCATGCAGTATATGTCCTCACCGCCTATGGAGAATGAATTCATGCTGGAAGAAACAAAAAACATATGGTAAAATATAAGAACTGATACAAACAGGTTTACAGCACATAAAACATAGTTCTTAATACAAATCTCATTTTGTGAATGAAAGAAATTTAATTCTGCAGTATAGGCAAATGTTGCAAATACTTCATGGCATCAAGAAAATAGATATTACCTGAGTTTTGTACTACATTTGCAGCATTTGAAGCAATTCTTATGTAGTACACGACCAGCAACTTCCAGTCTCTCCATTGCATACACAGTGCGGTCACATGACAGACACTTGTCTCCCCCACCACCCTGAAAATAATTATTAATTTGAATAACCTGGTAGAAAGCTTAGTAATATACTTTCTTACTTCTCATTATGTGTCATCTCTAAATGATAAAATTAAGAGAATGCACAATTCAATCCAAAATTATTAAAATGTATACCATTGCTTAAAGTCAAATGTCTTCAGTTGGGATATAATACCTACACACAAAATCCATGTCAAACTAAAGCATGCAGTACCACCAATTCTTTCACTACGGATATGATTAGTGACTAAAGTGTCTCTAACATTACGTATTTGGCAAGTATTCCTAACAGAGGTCAATTATGAATTACAGTTGGTGGAACATATTCTCTACAAATACCTGTTTTCCCTTGTAACACACCAAATAAGCACAAAAAAATCAGTATATAAAAAAAAAATCAACAGTTGGTTAGTTTCAACAGTACAACATTTTGAAACTCATAAGCTTTACCAAAGTAATAATAAAAAATGGACATTTCGTTAGTTCACAAACAAATACCACATTAAATATAGGCATCAGACAATGAGTAAATGACTGTACACTATATTAGTATAAATATAAATGCATTACATCACACTGAAACATTTGCACTTTATGACTTACCTATCAATATAATTGCTTGGAAATATGTTGACTCATAATTACAAGGAGGTACATACAGATTCATTTAATATATCAATTTATTAATCAATTTTGATACAAAGTTAAAAACTACATAAAATAATAATAATAACATAAAGTACCTCAATTGTGCGCTGTTTTTAAATGACACAATTCTTTATACAATTGTGAGTTTCTGACAGCATTATCATTTAGTTTACAGTGCTGAAACTGCATCTTACAAAAAAAAAAGAAAAAAAAAAATCTATCAGTGAAATCTAAAAAATATGATACAAATCATCTAAATATTATACTCCAAAAAGCTTCAAGCATTCTGAGGACATGTAGAGTGAGTGAAGATGCCATACATAAGGAAGGTAAAACTTCATATACAGTAAATTTGACAGTCACTCGCCTTACTTGTATGAGTGATTAATATTTATGGGAATACAAGGGCATTGCTAATTATATCTATAAGCAGCAGATTCATTTATGTATGCTGATTGGTTACTTGCTGCATTACCTATACAGAAAAGGAGGGAATTACTTATATACTGTATACCAGAAAAAAACTTCCTGTACAAGCTGTAGTCCACACACAATAGTAATACGTTTTCCTGGTAACATTCATTGCATAAAAAGATGCTGAGAACTAAAAAATATATTAACTGCATATACTATTCAGGCTGCACTTATTTCATCAAGTAAAACAAAGCATCATCTGTTCTTTATGTTTTTAGCACCTACAATTTTTTAGAAGATTATACGCATACCCTCTTTAAGCACCAAATTAGAAAAAATGCCTATGTAAACCATTTTACTCTAAGAATAAGGATTACTCTACTCTTTACCTTTGATTCTCTTAGAGTATGAGAGCACAGTCATAATCCTAAAATTTGCAAGCTGTGATTGAATAAAGAAAGCTCACACTTCTGATATATATCTTCGGGAAACAAGCATCTACAAGGTAATACCAAACATCTTTCATGACGAATGAAGGTAAAGGAAATAACTGATGTTATTTTCATAATAAGCAGTAACTTGGGATTTACTGACTTAGAAGAAAAAACATCTTCCATGGAAGTATAATACATAATAAAACATTTAAATACAACACAAGAAAGACATACTGTATTTGGAAAAAAATGTCATATAAAAGGCAATCACTCTATCCCCAGTCATTTATGAAACATTCTTGGTTTCCTGATTTCAAACGTGTTAACTTGAAGGGCCACATGATTAACAATGAGAGACAACAGAACGATATCTGCTGTTTTTATGGAGTTACTAATGAGGTGTAAACCTTGCATATTGGAATCAAGCTGGAGCAGAGTTTCTGAACGTGGCAGTCCATGTGGTTTGAAGAAAGGAAGTGATGTGCACAACTGCTGAATGAACGATGACGGATGACTGGGGTTGCAGGCGTCGTGGCAAGTCTCACTGGTGGAGGGAAGTGGACAGTCAGCCACAATGCCATAACTCAAGTCTGTGGTTAGTTGTGTCCATCCATAAGCTGTTCTGTTATCATTTCTCCTGTTGCAGGTGAACATTGCCACAAAGAGGGAAAAAACAAAAAATGATGTAGTGCACACTTCAATTCAAACTTAAAGTAGGAGTTAGTCCATACTGATATGAAATGATGCTACAAGCATGCACCATTCAAAACACTGCTGCTACATCACGTCATTCAATTGATGCTGTTAATCCATTTGAAATGTCTTTTGTGTGGTGAATTTTTTGTTATGTTCCTCCTCTTGACTTCTTGAAGAAGACTGTAGTTTGTCTGAATACAAAGCCAAGTCATGAAGCTCTTCTCTTTCTCCCTTATTTCATAAGAGAGCTTTAGCAGCTACATGCACTATTGTTAGAGATGCTGTCAAGGAAATGCAATTGATTCCACAGTCTGCAAAGCTCACATTGTGTAGATGAGACATTCATCCTTACATCTGGCTATCATCACCATGTCATTCTTGGGTGTAGCCTTTATGTCTTCTGAAGGTTTACAGACACTGTTAATGATTACTGCCATTTAGTAGTCCTCCTGACGTCTTTATATGATACAAATATGTTCTGGATTTTGGTATCTAGAAATATGTATATGGCTGATCCTTAAATATCATCATACATAAGCACATTTCTTTTCAACTGTATATTGTACAAATTATCTATAATTTGGGAAGTTACCAATCACTTGTGTATTTTTGTTCAGATTATGTTTCTGTAGTGTCATGCTCTTTTTCAGTTTCATGCGGAGTGCAATCCAATAATTCCCTTTAAGGAAGAGAATGTCCAGATCTCAATGCGATTTCCAGATGTACAGGTAAAATTTCTCTGTTTATACTTCAAAAGTTTCCTTGTATGCTTTTGCAAGGGGAGAACTCCTGGGCATTGTTCTTGTTAATATCCAAAGGATATGGGATGGTACACAAAACATGCAATGATACTGCTTTAAGGTTACACTAATCAATACAAATGTATAATGAATGCTACAATACTACCTTCACCTGGTCTATATGATACTACTATTTTTTTTAATATTTGATACTAGTTACCATGTTAAACTTCAAAGTCTTTTCCTCTATCAACCTTTTGCCTTTTTTACATATAACATGTTATATCTATACATCACAATCTTACACACAATTTCCTAATATACAATCAATCTAACCTACTGAGAAGGCACAAAAGATATATATCTAAAGAAATACAGAGAAATTTGTCATTCAATGTAGACTAATACCAATAAAGAAGTTTGTTTTAACTACTAGTTTCTGTATTCCAACATAAGTGAAACTAGTACATTATTGCAACATATGCTCTTACATGATATGTTCATAGAAAGATACATCACCAGTATGAAAGCATCAGTAATAGAAACTAGTTTGTATTTCTTTCTTTGAGTCCTTAAAGAACATGAAATAAAATCAGATATTTGCACTTACCACAAAATCTGTGACCTTCAACTTGGGTTGACTGCTTACGACCGGCCGGCTTGCCTCCTGGGCCTTGTTCTCAAACATGGCACGGAGGTTGCGGGCGGTGTCAATGGACGGCATACACTCTTCGTCATCTTCGTTCCTTTCATTGCGGTTGTACTCGTTGTTGTGCTCAACCTCTGACTCCCACCGCTCGAATTTGGCTCGCAGCGAAGCTGCTTTTCTGGCACTCTGTGAGGATTTAGCCTGTATAGCAGCAAAGAAGCAGCAGCAGCAGCAGCAGCGGCCACCACGTGTGCATGCACAAATATATGCGTGAAGCAGCAAGTGCATTACCAAAGATATTAAGGATTTTTAACCAGATTTAATAAACCAGTTTACCCAGTGACAATATTGAAGCAACAAAATGTAATGTTTGTGGAAAGTGAAAGTTGTTAGTAGAGGAAAATACCATGTGTATAAAAAAGATTAAAGAATTTTACATTAGAAAAATAGAAAATGTTAACAAAAGTACCATGCATGACATGAACACAAAAAATATCAGAAAAATAATAGAGAAAAAAATGATCCAGAGAAAATAGACAATGAACAGAAGAAACACATAATGGTAAGTAAGCAATGATTCATTGTAAAATTTACAATAAATTTAGCAGCAACATATTGGTATTCAGGTTGGCACCAGTGCATGACAAGATCACAGAACACAGATGCATTTGGAGACATTCACAGTAGACAACATGCAGACAGGTAGGTATGATTAGATGTTGCAGCAGATCAGCAAATAAGCAAGTGATAAGGAGGAAGACCAGGAAAGGGGAGGATGATAGGGAGGACGGGGGAGGGAGGAGGAGGGAGGAAGGACGTAATTATTAGTAGTTTCTTAAATAAAGATATAAACAATTCAGCTTAAAAATAAAATGAATTTTGAGAGATTCTTGAAGTATTTCATGAGTTCACAGAAAATCTGAGTGTGCATATTCCTGTTACTGACACCAGCTATCATCATACAATGATACTTGTCATTATGATAGTATTTGCATGAATTATTTCTTGCCTATAAAAAGATAAAGATAAAATTCTGACAATTGTAAAAGATATCTTTTACAAAATCTATTAGTTCTATCATATTCATAAGCATTTCAAGACATCTACAAACACTCTGATACTTCAAGATCTCCTCGAGAAAGATAACTTAAATAGAGGATGAACACTGAGAGTCGTATCTCTGCTATTTTATAACTCGTAACTTAAATTTTCTTATGCACAATAAAACCTCCTAAAATGAGATGTTTGCTAATAACATAATCAATGACGGCAAGTACACTCTGAGTTGAATCTGGCACACAATCACCAGCACTTAATTAGCACTTACTTAGAAGACTATGTATGAGCTTAAAGCTAACTCAATAAAGTAAACAAACATTTCATACAGTGTGAATTTGTTTATCAATCTAACCTTTCTTATCAAACCTGTAAATGATGATGAAATAGAAAACCTAAGTATATTCGGTATCATGATTTAATTTCAAATGCAAGTCTAACATTAAAAAATGGGATTTCTTTAGGAGGTTTCAGTGTGTGGTTTAGCATAAAACAATAATAATCAACTGGGAAATAAAGCACAATTATTACATTCAAAATAAAAAAATTCAAATAAATGCAGTATGAGATAAATTTTCATGTAAATATGGATAATTTTGGTATGGTGTGTACATGCTTCAAGGTAAAGGCATTGATAGCCTTAGGGTAAAAAAAATATGTTTATGGATATATTGGCAGGGAGCATTTTGTGGAAATCTCACAAACTCTTATATCACCCAATATTCTGAAGGCCAGCTCTAACTCAGCTACTTCTTATGCCAACTAGAAGCAAGTTGTTGACAATATGAACTGAATATCCATTTATAAACATTAATATAAGGAAATACAAGTTAATATCAAAACAGGGGAACATCAGTGCGTCACTGCCATCTACATTGTTACCAGAGAGAAAGGGAGCAGACAACAGAGAGGCCTTTTTTATGATATTGAATACATCCACATTACTACAAAAGGGTGAGTCTGAGTAATGACAGCCTAGCAGAAGCATTGAGAATTGGGTCACCACACTAGCAGTACCACACCTACCCCTCACTGGATCACCTACCAGCTGTACGGTGATAGAAAAATCACATCAGTACTTTTTATCAGTATAAGGTCCTGTTGTTTTATATATCTGAACTAATGGTGTGTCACTACATGGCATCATCAGAATCAAACTCCACAAACCTATATATCTCTGTCAAGATAAGATACAAAACATTCAAGAAGCTGTTCATAAAAAGGAAAGATGCTTGTAGGCCACTTATGAAGGGTGATTCTCATCTTTTCCTCAGTGGGGGAATTCTTAAGTTTATTAGTGCTATTGGAAACAAAAGGTCTAGCCCCAAAAGTTTCAAAAACAAAACTTGGCAAACTGTGAAAAGATACAATTCTACAAGTTTTTCTGGATGGCAGTAGAAGAAAAGGTTAGTGGCTTTATGTACTAAAGAGCAAAAGAAAAATGTCAAACATCAGTAATAAAAGAAATACTGTGTCCCAATGTCTCATAGTTGGACTGCACTATCGTATGAAAATATTCATAATAAAGCAGAATTTGATTCATAAGTACTGACCATAAAATAATTTGACAGCAGCTTATTACAATGTACGTGTGTATATTTGGGCCAAAGCAACAAAATAATGAATTGTGGTTCTGATCTGAACACTGTAATGATATCTACCAATCTATATAAAGTAAAAAATACACATTTATAAGTAAGCACTGCAATATAATTTAAAGAAAAATTGACCCCTCATGGATGGATATAAGCACCCATACAATACCCGCAAGTGAGCTGATTTCTTTTAAAATCTATATCTTATGAAGTTAGGTTTGCCTTAAAACAAAATGAGGTGGGATACTTGTAGACAAAATGGCAGCTGATTGATGTGCATGTAACATTAGGGACCCATCCATAAGGGTTCAGCAAAAGTTGAATCACCTTCCATCTATTTCCACAACAACCTGATCTTACTTACCTTCTTTTTCCTTGCTTTTTGCTAATAAAAACAAAAAATATGAAAATCTAATATAAAGATAATAAACTGTTGTAGCATCAATCATTTACACTTCCTTTGTCACCCTACCACAGAAAGTAATGGTAAAAAATTACATCTTACCATCTCTAAGATTTCATCCTTGTACTTTGGTTTCCTAGGTCTCTCATCATCATCATCAGACTCCTCCTCCTCATCTTCATCATCATCTTCTTCATCCTCTTCATCCGAGTACTCTTCATCAGAATACTCTTCGTCATCTGAATCATCATATTCACCCTCTGGTGGTGGCGTGAAGCGCTTCAGTGGTCGCGGGCCTGGTAATGAGGTTACCATGAATAGGAGTTCAACAATGCAGCTAAACATCAGTCTTGCATTAGCATTTCATAACCATTATATCTATTAATAACTATAGCTGCATGACCTTTTAAAGGCTACGCCTATGTCAAGTTTAATCTAACTGGTTGTGAAATGTGTTGAATTACATGTGCTATATCACCTACAAAACACCAAATCCTTCCAGATTTTACACAAGACAAAATAATAAAAAGAAAAAGTACCTTTGGCATCGTCATCCTCTTGCATTTCCATTTTCCTGAACATGGCAAGCACACTTTTGGTCTTGCGACAATCTAATGGTTCCTCTAGGTTGTCAGTGTACTTGACAAGATTAGGATCACGTCCGTAGAAGTCGGCCACTTCCTCATCATCACAGCCCTGGGGAAATACATATGATGAGTTATCAAATGTTTGGACGTTTCTTTTATTTCCTAGTATGTAATGAAGGAAAGGAAAGGCACAGGCTAGGAAAGTAAACAGGAAAATAGGATATTATAAGAAAAAATGTTACTATGGTTAACAGGGATCAACATCAATGGGGTAATGTTCTGGAATAAAAATAGTCTATGTGGTAATTAGTAGTTCTACTGGAAGGGAAGTCAACTATTAATAGAAACTGAGGATGTGAGAATAAGGTTATGAATAAAGGCAAAGTCAGTCTGGCAAAAACACTTAATAAACAGCAACCTGCCAGAACAGATGTATTTCTCATTCACTTTACTATGCAAGGCAAAATTATTTCTTATGCTTCCTGGCACTGCATTTCTCTAAGTGACTTGTCTCACACTACTGACACATTCAGATATAAGAGAAATGTTTGGCCCAGTAGTTTCTGAAAGTAAATAACTGCATATTATGTTTTAGGTGTTACCTTCATATGTATGTAAAAACAAATCAAAAACGTCATAAACGTCTTCTCGTCACTTTAGGCTACACACTGTTAATCACACATAAGGCGAAAGGCAGAGGATAATACACCAAAGGATGAGGAAAAATACATTTAAATTTCAGACAAAAAGAAAAGCACTTAACAAAACTATGTAAGGGATACAAAACAGAAGTGGGCAGGAGATGAAGAACAGATGATTAATAATCAATAAAACAAAAAGGGTCAAAAGGGTGGGAAGGAAAAACAAAACAAAACAAAACAAAAAAAAATATAAGAATACTGAACATAAAGAATATAATAAATAACTGCTGCATACACATACAGATGATAGTAATGAAAAAAGAAGGTATAGGAGAAAAAAACGCGAAAAAGCCCAAAACCAGTCCGAAGAAAATATCAGGCAATATCTTGAATAAGAATACATCAGTCACGTCACTATCACGAAAATCTATAAAACTATATTTACATGGTTAGATATATTTCTAAGCACATCACCTGAAACATTGTTTGAGTTCTGAGGGAACAAAAAATGCTCAGTTTCTAATGCCACCAACAACCCTAATTGCCATGCATTTCTATATCCATTATCTACACAATCTCTCCACAAAGAACAAACTTATTAATGCGCACAAAGAAAACTCTTAGTATTATTTCAGCTAGCATATGAACAACTGTAATGGCAAGAACTGCAAAGTCTTTGTTACTCACTCTGTAAGACAGACTAAAAAAAAAGGGTAATTTAAGCATCTTATTTTATGCAGGAGTTTAGGCAATTCTCATTGGTCGTTCTAAAGACTAGCTGGTCCTGACTCCATCTTCCAAAAAGGTTTCAGGTTTCAATAAACGTCTCCAGACTGTTTCTTGTTTGCTGTTTAAAATCTCTTGGAGTGGCAAAAAAATTTACCTCCTTAATGAGAAGAGAAAGGCAAGGTTTCCTGACAGTCCTGTAGTCATAAAATGTCCAGTCGCACCACCGTAATCAATATTTTCCCTGGATGATAATATATAAAACAGTTATATCTTGGGAATAAGCCTACTTTATGGGGAATATCTATACATTTTGGAATTTACATTTTTCCCATAGTTTAAAAGGTAACGGTAATGCAAAAAAATATAGGTGCATGTATAAGTAGTTTCCCATGATTCCCATAATATCAAAGGGACTTATGCAGAAAATGGTACAAATAGACATGAATAACTTTGCAACCTAAGATAAATAATATCTTGCAATGAGAAGTTATTCACAATTGTTTATAACATTTTCAACATTTGTCAAAATGGACCCAGATCATCTAAGAAAGAGACATTATATCTAGCACATTTTTGCACTGGCTATTGACAGTGCAGAGACATACCAAAAATCAGCATGCTAACCTGGCAGGTCACTGATTCAGATGCCAAAAGGATCTAATGACACATGTTAGTGCAACAGTGAAGGCAGACAATTCATCTCATTATTGATGGAAATGGTTTCAGTTAAAAACATATATTAGGATTTATTGCTTTACATATATGAAAATCTTTAGATGAAAAATATATACTAGAAAGCAATATTTAAACTCTAAACACTGAGAATTTAACATGAAGATATTAGACAGAGTGATCACTTTCTTCTAATTATGGGGTAGGCTGGCTGTGACACTTCTAAACACTGAATATATCCAGAGTTACAGAAACAGGAAACATGTACCAGTGATAGGTACTATATTTCACAAACACAACACAAAACAAGACACTTCTACAAGCTACAATGGGCATGGGGAATCGGGAAATTCTGGGTTCGGATGATAAAAAAACTCGGTGACCACAGCAAATTACCCGAAGCCTGCACACCGGACAATTAATTGCCATGCAACGTTTAGGCATTATGGCCTTTAAGAGCTCTTCATCAACCTGGGCTCCATCACGAGGTGGGTGATGCGGAATACTTTTTTCTTCTTCCTCTCCTGTTCTTTGACACGTTCCTCATAGGTTGCAAAGAATTTAAAGCGGTCCAAAATATTTGAACTTTCAAGTCCCTCTTCTTCTCCATCGCCATTCGCTCCATCTCCGACCTGCGAAGTGAGATTTCGAATGCGCCTGCCCTGCAAAACACCAGCAACACTGTCCGGTCATATCTATCAAATGTTCTCACTTTTTCTTCCGGTTTTGTGTGTGTGTGCTTTGCGGGGAGATTTTAAACAAAGTACTTCTATGCTAATGTATTAAGCTGCTACAAGATTGCCAGGCAAGACAAGTGTGTAGTTAGAGGTCTATTAAGAAATACAGAAGGAAGACAGAAAGCAAAGGATCTAGAAAAATATCTTGAAGTAGTGGTTTCTTCTGGATCTTCTGAACTCACATCCTTGCTGTAGAATAACATTCAACATAATTAATATGTGATTTCAAAGAGAGACACACATTCTGTACAAAAAATATTTGCTACAGAGAGAGAAGAGTCAGTATATTAATTATAAGATTTTCT